ATCAATTCTGGAGGTGGCTTCGAGAACCCTCCCTAGCCAGCTTGAACTTTCACATTATCTCCTTGTTTTGAGGCCCTGAGCACTGAGGGCAGGGAGGACGCCATGCTGTGCGACTCTCCTTCAAGTCCATCTTCCCTCCACCCCTGTTCAAAGAGAGAAGAGCCAAAGTTCCTCATCGGGGCCCACCTCCCCGGCCATCTTTGCTCCGGAAGTGCCCTCAGTGGAAGTGAGGGCACCGGAAGCTGCGTCTGCGGCGCACTCACTGGTGCCTCCTCACGTGTCCCCGGCCGGAAGTGCCGACCTGGGTGGTGAAGTGGAGCGCAAGTTTCGGAGGAAGCGGAGGTGGCCGCGCCCACAGCGAAGGCCGCGACTTCGGCAGTTCAGCGATCTGTGGGTTCGACTGGAGGAGAGGTGAGGCAGTGGTTTGGTTTGGGCTGGGCTGGGCTGGCCTGGGCCGGTGGGGAGCCCATCCCCGGCGTCCATCCGTCCCACTGGTAGTGTGGGTGGGGAGCAGCCCGGAAATGCCCATCACACCGCTTAAGAGGGAGGGGGTTCAAGGCTCTGGTGGGGGTGAGCGCCCCACTCATGGACCAGCTTTCCTATTTCTCACAGCCTTGGGCACTGTCTTCTGTTCACTGTGATACAGATGAATCCAGATTAAAGGTCGTTGCTTCGAGCCAGAGTAAGGGCAACATGTTCATCTTTGTTAAAGGAAGGGTGGGGGGCAGGTGTGGGTATGCATGAGTGTGTTGATTTACCAGCCCTTTCTCCACTGCAGATCAGGGATTTCAGTTTGGCAGAGCTGGAAGCAACCTTGTGGGAATGGGCTTATTCAGCCCCCACATTTGACAGGGAGTAGGATGACCACAGAATGTACTCTCAGAGGCGCTTAGGAGGTGGTAGATCAGAGGGGGACAGAGGAGTCAAAGGTGATGACTCAGCCTGTTCTGCAAGGCATAAGACTTCTGGAAGAACTACATCAGAGAGGCCTGGGATCCAGGATCCAGATCAATTCAACCCAAATGTATTGAGTTCCTCCCATGTGCCTGCTTTTGTGTTGGGTGCTGTGGCTTTGGAGTAAACCAGGCATTAGCCCTCTGCCTTCATGGAGTTCACATTCTGGGGAGGAAGCCAGATTTTGAGTTGATTGTCTGCAAAGGAAGTGTAGGGTACTGTGGGAATGCTCTTTTGTTGGAGGTTACTATTTAGGGTTGGGGGTCAGGAAAAGCCTCATGGAGTGAAGGGACCTTTTGGCTGATACTGAGTAGAAGCCTGACAAAATGAAGCCCAACGGACAGAACTTTTGAGTCTTCATCAGGAGATTTAGGGATCTAGTGCCTGCATAGGTGTTTAGTAATAAATGTTGAATGAGTAAACAACTGAGCAAGGAGGGGAAGGAGTTCCAAGCAAACGGAACAATTTGAAGGCCTGGAGAGAGTGAGCATGTTGAAGAAACCAAGATGAAGTAATTATGACTGGAGCCTGGGAAGTCAAGGGGAGTTGGGTGGGGTGGGGTGGGGTGGGTCCAGACAGGAAGTGGAGTGGAGTGCCTGCAGAAATGAGGAGCCACTGAAGGCTTGAAGCAGGCATCCAGTATGCTGTGGAATTGGCTTTTTAAAAAAATTTTTAAAAAAGATTTTATTTATTTATCTATTTGAGAGAGAGAGTGAGCGGGAGAGGGAGAGAGAGTCTGAAGCCGACTCCATGCTCAGGGCGGAGCCCGACTCAGGGCTTGATCCCATGACTGCAAGATCATGACCTGAGCCAAAATGAAGAGTCAGATGCTCAACCGACTGAGCCACCCCGGTGCCCCCGGGATTGGCATTTTTAAATGGAGGGAAGCTGGCAGCCAAATGGGACCTGGAGAACAGGGACAGATCCTGTTGTATCCATGTTCCATGGTACCTGCAGAGGGTGGCTGTTCAACTATCCTTCCTTGGGGGGTGGAGGAAGAAATTGTCCTATTCAGTTCTTTTTCAGTCTGGGCCATTTCCTTTCAAGGTGGCCTGGAGTTGGGCACTTTACACCTGAGCTGAGCTGAAAGGTCCAGTTGGGCCTGAGATCATGGGCCCCTCAACTCATACGAGTCTTGACTTGGGATGTCTGCATGGTGTTCACACTGGACCTGAGCTGGATGGGGGGGCGGGGGGGGGGGAGAGCCAGATCCCAGGGAGGACACCTCATGGCTTGGATGGGCCTCTATGTGTGGTTAGTGAGGAGGGTCCCTGCCTGAGATTGCCCAAGGGCTAATGATACGCAAATCTGAGTTGGGCCTTCTTACACCTAGAGTTTTAATAATCTTTGAACCAAGAACCATGTTGCCGGGGGAGAGTTGTCCGATGTGCGGGTCTTAGTACCTGAATTACTTGGATTTGCTGTAGCAGTAGTATTAAGGGACAAAGACACAGGAAGCCCATTAACATACTAAGATCCATTACTGTCTTTAAAAAAGGGAGATGAAAAGAAGCTGTGTGGGCCTTCAGGGGTCTTGGAGTGTCCAGTGGCTCCTGCTGAGCTCTGAGACTGTTTTTTCTTTTCCTCGTAGTGCCATGGTCCCACAACTCCAAGTCCCTGCTCTGGGTAGATCCATCTCTGCTGAGCTGCGGCTTCCTCACCATGGGCATTCCTACCACAGCCAGATGGTGGCCAGCAGTGCCTGTCTGTCTCTCTGGAATCCTGTGTTCTGGGTGCTGATGCTGGCTTTCCAAACAGAGACATCCCTCCTGTAATGACTGGAGGAGCCAGGCCAAGCCCCGACCCCTTGGACTTGAAGGATGGCGGTCCTGTACTCCACACTCTGGTCTGGCCTTGATAGGCCCAACCCAGGAAAGGAGATAGAATAAAATGCAGTGTTGGTTCTCTTTCCAAGGAATGACTTTGGGTTATCCAGCAGTGCTTGGGGTGGGTGTACAGTTTTGTAACATAATGAGTTGTATGAAAAGAATTATAAATGTATTATATAAAAATGATTAAATACATTTTCTGTGTAGACTTTTTCCCACAATATGTATATATTATGCAAACAACTCTTGCTCACACTCTCTGGATACTATCACTGCTTCACTCCTGGGCCCTGCTCCTGGTCTGCCTGCCACTTTGGATCCTGACCCTGTTCTTCCTGCTGCTCCTCTTCCTACTCACTCCTGGTTCTGGATTCAGGGGAATTAGTAGGCCATGGGACCTTTGTTTGCTCCTCTCTATTCAAGGTCTGGTGGCTGGGCTGCTTCCTGCACTCTGACAAGTGCTTTAATTACGTGTGATATATGAGTGTCTCGCCAACACGCTGAAGACTGGGTGAATGGGTGGGCTTCGTCAAAGCTGCTGTGCAAGAAAGCGCTTTGCAAACGTTCCCTCTTCCTGTCTTGTTATTTATTATTTATATGTCTGTGTCTTTTACAAATAAAATCTTACAGGGAATCTACATAAAATGATTAAGAGTAGAATTGTCTTGGTTGAGTCTGAAATGGGAACTTTCAGTCCTGCCCCGCCCCCCCTTCCCACCCCATGGCAAGGTTTCTTTAGGGGCTTTCGAGCAGTTCACAGAAACCCGGAGGGTCTGCCCAGGACTTGGATGGGGCCAAAAAGAAACAGATGCGTTTGTTCCTAACCTGGTTTGGGGAAAGCTCGATTGCCTGGGCTTGCAGTTTTGTGATCTTCTCTTCCTAGACTTTCTTGTGGGTGCATTCTCAGTCATTTCCAGGGCCCAGAAGATCTTTGGGGTCTACTTAAAGAGTGGTGTGGTGGTACTCAGGATGCGTGTCCTCCACCTTTGCTCCATTCTGCACCATGCACCCTATATTGCAGGGGTAGGAGGACTCAACGTTCCCAGATTCCCTTGCTGCTATGTTTGAGATTCTCCTAATGAGATAGACTTGCCTGACATGGAAGGCGGAGAGACAGAACTTTCTCTTCAGGGGTGGTGGCAGATATGTGTAGGCTCCCGCAGGCACGAGTTTGTGCAGTGGCCTGGCTCTGTTCTTCCTTGTCCAGTCGACTGCTCCATGAGTGCAGCACGGTTGTCAGGTTGGCACAGTTTCCCACAGCCCTCTGACCTTGGATTATAGCTGCTCTGGTGCCTGATGTCAGCCTCTGACTTCTGCAGCTGCAACCATTCCCATGGCTTAGTAAGCACCTGTTCCCGCTTGGAATGCCAAGAGTAGTCTCGGATTCCTGCTCTGAACTCTAAGTAATAGAAGTGCTCTCTGCTTCTCTGGGACTTGAGTCTGTTTTTAACTTTGATAAGTGTGGGGACGAAGGCGGAGGTAAAAGGGGAAGGTAGGATTACTGGGCCTGACCCAATTCTTACAAATTTCTGTAAGGGGGTGGTGTGGCTTTATCCATCCTAGCTGCGTGATTCCCAGTGTCTTGGCTCATGTTACAGCTGGGGAGGCAAACAGACCCTTGTTGGCAGGGCTGACACAAGGTGATTTGCCACAGTGACTGCTCCATCTTTTTTTTTTTTTTTGGTGACTGCTCCATCTTAGTAGTGGCCCAATAACCTCTGCTTTTGAGGTGGCAGGGGCTCAGGTGCACCTGGGTGGGACTTGGCTGCTTTTCACACAGGCTCATCCTAAAGTGGAGGGGAAGTTCTGTACTTGGGCAGGACCAACCTGCACTTCCGTGAAGCATAGCAGCCTCTTCTAAGGACTGTAGTATAACCCCATAGAGTGGGGGAACAGGCACCGTGGGGTCGAGATCTTGTTATCCAGCTCATTTGCTCATCAGCCTCCCATGTGTTGGGCTCTGAGCCTTAAATCCGGTCTAGAAATCGAAGCACCTGGGACCATGTGACTGCAGTGTACACCAGGCCTTTTATATTAGAGTGAGGAGGAAGGAAGCCCATGTGGATAAGGCATTGCTGAGCTCTGACTCGCCCAGGTTACTCCCCTCACTCCCCTCAAGTTATTGATGGGAAGCTGCCTGGCTCTCACCTGCGGGAGGGGGAGCAGGTTTAAGAGGTGAGTGTTGAACCCACTGCTTTCACATCAGAGCTTGAGTTACCAACAGGAAGAAACACTCAAACACTTTATTTTAGATTAGAAGAGAAAAACCACACTTACTACCCTTAAGTCAGATCTGAAGGAAAGCTGTTTTGCTCACATATAAGTTTTGCAGACCTTTGTCCCCCATCAGGAAAGATCTTGGCCTGGTTCTTTTTTAGCAGGAGGTGGCAATTTTTCACTCATTTAGCTGGCAGAGTAAAGCCGATCCCTTGGCAATCCAATAATCTTTGGACCGCTTGGAGGGTAAGAGGACAGTCACCACAAAGTTGGTTGAATGACCTAGTTAAGGGTACAAGGACAAAAGGTTTGTTACTTAAAGAATAACCCCTTGATACAAAGAGCACTGTACTGTGAGTCAAGACACTTGGGTTTCAGACCTGACTCAGTCTCTAAAGGTAATGGGCAAATAATCCTCTATGGATTTCAGTTTTATGCTCTATAAGATGAAGATGTTAGAACAAATGATCCTTTAGGACCTGTCCGGCTTCGACTTTGTATAACCTTGTAAAATATGTTTCAAATTCTCTGCAGGCTGACTGAGGTGACCCTGGACTAGGATTCAGCCTTGAGCTTTTAGTGGGACTTGGGATGCAGTTGGTAGGTTGGGCATCTGTTCATTTGTCCATCTGTCCATCCATCCATCCATCCATCCATCCATCCATCCATCCTTTGTTCCACCCTGCAGTTAGGCACCAGGGCTCCTGAAATGACTAAATACAATCACAGATATTTGGCCCTCAGCTCTGGGACATCTGAAGTAAGAGGGCACTTTTGCACTTTTTTCACTGTGGGCCTGTGTGAGGGCCAGGACCAGTGTAAGAAGAAGAGCATTCAGCTCTCAAGATGGCACTGCATTCATAGCAAACCCCATCTGTGTGGAAGTTGGGGAAGGTGGTGGTGTTGCCAGCAGAGAATGCCTGTATCTCCCCTTCCCTTACCTTTGTATGCCATGCCCTGCATGGTGCCTTGGCAGTGCTTGAGGGACATTTTATAGTACATAGCAGCACACACACACACACATTTAACTGTGAGTTTGATTCAGGATTCAGATAAGGTCCATGACTTGCAATAGTGATGTGTTGTATTTTATTTTAGAGAGAGAGTGCGTGTGTGAGTGGGAGTGGGGGGAGAGGGAGAGACACAATCCCAAGCAGGCTCTGCAACCAGCATGAAGCCTGACATGGGGCTTATCCCTCAACCCTGAGATCACGACCCGAGCCAAAACCAAGAGGCAGATGCCCAACCAACTGAGCCACACAGGTGCTCCAGTGGTGTGTCTCTTAAATTTCTTACAATAGTAGGTTCCCCCTCTGTTCCTTTTGCCACCCCCTTGTAATTGTTGAAACAACCAGACTATCCTATAAAGTTTCCCAGAGTCTGGATGTTTGCTGACAGCTTCCCTGTGGTGATTTCAAGCATGTTCTTCTATCCCTGTAAAGGGGTGGTGAGATCTAGAGGCATGATCACATTCAGGTTTGAGTTTTTTGGGACAAGAATACTTGAATAGGTGGTGTGTACTTTCATCAGGAAGTACCTTATGTCTGATTGTCTTTCTTTGTTGGGATGTTAGCATCTGTTGATAATTATTACTTAGAGTCATTATTTCATTAGGGTTAATAATTTTAAAATTTAGTGATGATTAAGTGTAAAGTATCCATCAGTGATTTAATTTTTGTATGTAGTATGACACAGGGTCTAAGTTTGGTATAACCAATTGTCTGAGCACCATTTGTGGAATAATTTCTCTCTTCCTGACCTATTTTATTTTATTTAAGATTTATTTATTTATTTGAGAGAAAGAGAGAGAGAGAGATAACATGAGCAGGGGGAGGGGCCGAGGGAGAGAGGGAGAAGCAGACTCCTGGCTGAGCAGGGAGCCTGATGTGGGACTTGATCCCAGGACCCCGAGATCATGACCTGAGCTGAAGGCAGACGTTTAACCCACTGAGCCACCCAGGCACCCCTTCCTGACCAATTTTAAACCAACACACACAGTGTGTTTCTGGGGTCTATATCCAGTGCATTGATCTGCTTGTTGAGTCTTGTGCTAGTGCAATATCATTTTAATTACTACCTTTCCTTGGTTCCTCTTGCCAAGAAGACAGGGTTCCTGTTGGAATTTTAGCCAATAATAAGACAAATGACTCTTTAAAAAATGGGTAAAAGGGGGCGCCTGAGTGGCTCATTCAGTTAGGTGTCTGCCTTCAGCTTGGGTCATGATCCCAGGGCCCTGGGATTGAGCCCCACGTAGGGCTCCCTGCTCAGCGGGGAGCCTGCTTCTTCCTCTGCCTCTGCCCCTCCCCCCTGCTCGTGCTCGCTCTCATGCTCGCTTGCTCTCTCTCTCTTTCAAATAAATAAAATCTTTTTTAAAAAAATGGGTAAAAGACTTGAACAGATAGTTCATCAATGAAGATATAAATAAGTACCAGAAAAGATGGCTAACATCATTAGTCATTAGGGAAATGCAAAGTAAAACCACAAGAAGATACCACTATATTCTATCATTCTATCTATCTATCTATCTATCTATCTATCTATCTATCTAACATCTAAAATTAAAAGGACTGGTCATCTTAAGTGGTAGTGAGGATGTGGAGGAACTGGAACCCTTACACGCTGCTGGTGGAAGTGTTCAGTGGTATGGCCACTTTGAAAACAGTTTGGCTGTTTCTTTAAAAAGTTGAACCATGTACTTACCACATGATCCAGTCATTCCACACCTAGATATTTATCCAAGGTAAATAAATGCATATGTCCACATAGAAACTTGTACATATCATTATTAATTTTAATGTTTTTAGATTTGTCATAGGGGGAGATGAAGACATGATAGGAGTGTCTATTTTAGTCCTATTCCATATGTTACTCTTTGAGAACATACTGTAATTGAAGATTTTATTAGAAAAATATTTATCAGTATCTATATTCTCTACTCAAATGAGAAAATGTTTTAGTTCTTTCTTCCTTGCCCCTCTCCCATATTTCTATCATCTGGAAATTTAGTTTCAAGTTATTAAAATCATTTTTATGGTCAAACTATTAAGATTTAAGTGTGTGTGTGTGTGTGTGTGTTTTAAATAGAGGGTCAGTGGTGATTAATTTAGAGCCACTGTATGTCCAAAAATAGGTTTACTACTCCTTCCCTTTTGGGTGATAATTTGGTTGCATTTGTTGCAGTTCTATGGTTCAAAGTTGTTTTTCCTCAGCCTTTAAAAATGTTTGTCTATTGGGGTGCCTGGGTGGCTCAGTTGGTTAAGCGTCTGCTTCGGCTCGGGTCATGATCCCAAGATCCTGGGATCGAGCCCCGTGTCAGGCTCCCTGCTCAGCGGGGAGCCTGCTTCTCCTTCTCCCTCTGCCATTCCCCCTGCTTGTGCTCTCTGGCTCTCTCTGTCAAATAAATAAATAAAATCTTAAAAAAAAAAAAGATGTTTGTCTATTTTCTTTTTATGTGCGCTGTGGATAAAGAGAGATGCATGGTGTCAATCTGATTCTCATTCTTGGGAATTTTAGTTCCAGTGTATTCATATATTTATCTCTTTGCTTTGAGTATTTTCTTTATCTCTGATAGTCTTAAGTATCACTTTGATATATCTTTTAAAATTTATTTCTTTGTTGTGTGCTTTAAAAAATCACTCCTACCACTTTGTGAGATCTTGTAATCTGGGGACTCGAGTGTTTCTTCAGTTCTGGGAAATTATCAACCATTATTATCCTTCTTTCATTCTCTTTCTCCTTCCAGATTGCCTACTAGATAAATACTGGAAATTTTGGCTCCTTTCACAATGTCACTTTTTTTTTTTTTAATCGCACTGTGCCGTATTGTGTGGGTCCCCAGCTCATTCCCTGCTCACTCTTTAGTGGTGTCCTAGCTGTGTGTGGGCAGGTCTTCAGCTTCTCTGTTGATGGGGCTTTCTACTTGGTTTCTTTTCTCAGGGCTGCATCTTAGTTTCAAGCCCACCCGGATTCCCCTTTTTGCAACACAGCATTCCATTTTTGGTTCATTTTCAAATCTGTTTTCTATGATGAGTCTCAGTGGCTTTGGTGGGAGATAGATTTTCGTGTCTACTCAGGTCATCATTTTGAAATTAAAAGTCACTGCTCAATAAGCTCTATTTTCTACTTATTAGACTAATAGAAGAAAGCATTAGTTTTATGATGTTAGTCCATACTCAGAGCTAAAAGAAAGAGAATTTATAACATTTATAAATTAGTATGTTATAAGTGGCCTCATTTTAAGCCTTGCTAATTGGCTTAAGATCTCTCCTTGCACAGTATAGCCTTTTTTTTTTTTTTTTTTGGACTTTGTAGTTTGCGTTTTGTCATCATTTGGGCCAATCTTGGCACATCCTTACCTGTGGTTGAGAGTGTTCCTGCCCGGGCCCCTGTTTTATAAAGTGGGGAGTGGTAAAGTGTTGGGTTTGGCACATAATTTTGTTGAGGTTCAAAATGCACCACAGGCAGCATTGGATTCATCTGTCCTGGCAATGCATCCTCTATCACCATCTCCGTATTGTCCCATCGAGAAGCATCCATGAACATTCCATGAACAAGAACACCATCCTCAGGAGAGGGCAACTGAAAGATGAAGAGACGTTATAAGGTGAGAAGAGGAGAAGGGGATTAGCTGTTGTGGGCCATTTCCTGAGTGAGTCCCACATCCTCATGAGTTAATTCTAAGAACCACTCTATAGATTGCTGTTATTACTCACATTTTAGAGAGGAGAATACCGAGGCTTGGAAAGGTAAAATGACTTGCTTCTCAGTTTGACACCAAATCTTATACTTCCCACAGTCCACCAGGACCTCTAATAAGGGATACCATTTATGGGCTTCAAATGATCTGATATGATGTTATGACTTTCTCCTTCTCACGGGAAGCCGATGGGATAGGAGGGCTGTAACTATCATGTTCTTTTTAGCAAGGTCTTTCGAAGGTCTGGGTGACCTCCTAAAGATAGATTCTGTATCTGTAGTAACACTTGCAGAGCACCAGTGGAAAGTTCCTTTTTTGTTTTCAGAAATTATGCTAGATTTTTCATGTTCCTATTAAAGGGGGGAGAAAGAGAGACAGAAAAACCCTGCCCCTTAGTGGCCCGTGATTGGATGCCACCGCTGGAGTACAATTTCGGCCGGTTGTAGGCTTCTGTGTCGTCCTCCCTCAAACACTGAGTGCATTTGGCCACTTGTAGAGCCAGTTATCTTTTGGATAATTGGAGCTTCACACCTGCAGGCAGTGACCAAGCTGTATGGACATAGGTAGTATATTTTTATTGTGAATAAAAGAATGGTAAGCTCTTTTTGGCTGGTCTTTACTTTCTAGCGTCCTGAGCTTTGTCACTTGGGCAGGCAGCGTGGGGCCTGCCTTCCTGTTTGGGGGCCTGCTGCATACACTTGTGCACGTTGGCCTTAGTAGAGGCTGCACTTGCCGGGCCATGTGTGGGAGCCATTTGGGCATCCACCCAGAGGAAGTGTGTTTTCCTAAACTGCGCAAAGGTGGCAAATGGGAGGACAGTGGTCCTGCTTGTATGTAGTGGAACTAAAGCTGTGTGAGCACAGTCTCTTGCAGACATTCACTGGGAGGACCAGGAGTTGGGCCCATGATACGACCCGCCATCTCCATAGAAGGCAGAGATCTAAAGCATTGTCGTGGCTCAGTGCCCATGATCCAGGTGGAGGTGTGCTGTGGGTTAGGGCAAGGTGTAGGGACAGAGGCCCTGGTGGTCAGTGTAAGCTTCCGTCTGTCAGCCTCCTGGGGCAGGTACAAATGTGCCAGGCACAGAGCAGGGCCAGCGTTCTGGAAGGCCTCAGCAAGAACTTTTATGCGGGTGCCTTTCTGAGGCCTCAGTTATTCCTGATGTGGGCCTGGGACACCCTCCTGGCTAAGAAGGGGCTCAAAATAATGAGGAGTGCAACTCTCAGTTTATTTTCTCTTTACTTTAAAAAGCATTTTGATGCTAAAACAAATTTCCTTAAAAATGTAACCCTTTTTATTGTCATTTTAAATACAGGTTATTAAGAGGCATGGGATATTACAGTATTTCATAAGTAAGCCATGAATATTGGATCAGTTTGGTCTTTGTAAGTTTTTGCTCATGAGAACAAAGAGTAGATCAATCAGATCTGAGTGGGGTGGATACTGATAGAATTATCCAGGAGCAACTTCTACTAACTGATGCCAGGATATGTTAAGGAAAGTTTAGTAAAGCCATTCACCACAACTATGCTGATTGATGAGTGAACACTTTCTTGGAAAAAACAATCTGGAGCAGATGTTTGATTTTGTGGCACGTGTAGAAAATTATATTTATACGGCTCACTAGTGTGGGTAGGTGCTTGGAGGCAGAGCTCCAGTCCCCCATCGATATCTCCTCAGCACACTGAAGCTGGGCAGCTCAGATTGGCAGCAGTGGTGATCATCCCTGGCTGTACACTGGAATCACCAGGGGAGCTTTGGAAAATAATGGTGCCTAATGAAATTGGGGTGATTCTGATGTAACTGGAGTGTAGTCTGGGCACTGGGATTTTTAAAAAGCTCCACAGGTGATTCTAACCTTCAGTCAAGATTGAGAATCACTGATATTCTAGAGCTGTGGCTCTCAAACTTTAGTGGGCTAAGAACCCCATGTAGGACTTGTCACAGTACAGAGTTCTGGGTCCCAGCGCAGAGTTTCTGATTCAGTAGATCTGGAATGGGTCCTTGGAATTTGCATTTCTAATAAGTTCCCAGGTGATGCCCATGCTCCTGGTATTGGAACCACACTTTGAGAACTTCTGCTCTAGGAGGGAGTAAACTATGTAGGCAAGGAGTTTAAACTGCTTCCTTAGTGCATTCCTATTAATTACGTCATGTATTTATGGTTATATAATGTACGATGTATTGGTATATTCCTTCTGCTAGGAGGCAGTTGAATGAACGGCAAATAAATTCAGCCTATAATAATATTTATTGTGAGAGCATTATGCGCTGGTTATTTTTACTGCATTACAACTCTGAGGTTAGCGGCATCAGCCCCATTTTACAGATGAGAACACTGAGATGCAGACATGTGAGTCATTGCTCTAGCACACACAGCTGGAAAAGGGGAAAGTCAGAATTTAAACTCAGGCCTGCCTGATTCTGAAAACTTTGTTTTTAAATCTGGCTAAAGTCCTGATATTTAACCCTTTTCTCCATAAGAAGGAGAAAGTTGCCATAGGAATCTAAAGAAATAAAGTGTTACTTTAAAAAATATCTCTATAGGGCGCCTGGGTGGCTCAGTTGGTTAAGCGACTGCCTTCGGCTCAGGTCATGATCCTGGAGTGCCAGGATCGAGTCCCACATCGGACTCCCTGCTCAGCGGGGAGTCTGCTTCTCCCTCTGACCCTCCCCCCTCTCATGCGCTCTCTCTCTCTCATTTTCTCTTCAAATAAATAAATAAAATCTTTAAAAAAAATAAAAAATATCTCTATAAATCAGACTAATTTAGGCAGTTCCATCTAGGCATTGCTAGACTGGGGAGTTTGTCTGAGGGGTGTGAATCTTGTCCTGCTTCTCATGCTCCTGCTGTGGGAGGCAGTAGGGGAGTGGGGCAGGGGAGGTTGGCTGAGACCTCAAATGGCAGAGGGACAGAGCTGCTTTGCAGTAACAGTAGTCGGGGGACAATACCTCCAAGTCCATGGGCAATTCTTGTCCAAACTGCACTGTCTTGGCAGCTTCTATAACTGCAGCTTGATCCCGGTAGGTAGGAATCATGTTGTATTTGAAACTCAGCTCATCTATAGGCAAATTGTATTTCCGAGCATGATTTTGAAGAGTTCCTATAAATACGAAAACCAGAAAGCTGTGTCCTCGGAACAACACTGCCGCTTCTCGAACACGGCCTCCACTTGCCTTCATCAGGCCGCTCTAGCGTTTGAGAGCTTCCTCTCCATTGAGAAATCTCAACCACTAATGCCTTATTCTGAATTAGTTCATCAGCCGGGAAGCCTGCGGTGATGTTGGGAGGGGTGGAGCCATGGCGGGGCTGGGAAGAGTGGGAGGAAGGCCAAGGCTCAAGGGCACTGCTCTGCAGTGAGGGAGACAGGCCAGGGCAGGAGTTCCAGAGCCCCATCTCCCTAACTTCAGAGTCCTGCTCAGCTTGTCTTGTATGGGCTGTTTATAAGGGATTCAGGATGAGACAGATTAAGGGCTGGGCCTTTAGCTGGAGTCCTTGAGGGCTGATGGAAGGACAGAAGGAGTATTTTTTAGAGGGAAGGAAGCTGCGCTGAGGTGGGCCAGAGCAGGGGGTGAGCAGGTGGTGCCTTTAAGCACGGGTCGCAGGGGTCGCACGGGTCGCACGGGTCACACGGGTCGCACGGGTCACACGGGTCGCACGGGGACTGGGGCGTGCTGTGGACCTTCACAGCAGCAGTGCACATGCATGCACGACGGAGAGGTGCAGGGATTAGGTTGTAGGGGAGCAGCTGCTATTTCTGTCATCCTTTCCCCTGGCAAGTGAAGAAGAGCAGGGCCTCACCGAACTGCCCTACAACCAACAGTCCACGGTTAGGTCATTGGCAGCCAGGCCTTTCCCCCGGTTCCTAGAAACCCAGCATGTAACAAATCGTGGTCTTTTTGGTGGGATTTTTCTTGGGAAAGCACAGTTTTTTACCTGTTAGAAATCCTTGAGGAAAGAAGAAACCGGAGATCCAGAAGGACTTAGGCTGCCCCCCTTTGAGCCACAACTAAAGGAGAAACATTACATCATCATGTATTGTTTTTCTGAAATGGAGTTTGTCATTTAAACCAAAGTCATACTCGGAGGGGGTCTCAGGAGACAGAATCTCAACCAGCCCGAGTTAGTCACCAGCTCCATTCTCACTCCCTGTCTGTCCCCCTTCCTCACCCAACAGCCTGACCATAAATCCAGAAGCTGGGTATCACAGGGGGTGTGGAAGAGGGGAGACCCCGCAAGGTCACACCTGGCAGTTTGGACCCATGTCAGATTGGTTCGGTACCTCACGGTGGGGTATGAACGAGATCTGAAGCTAAAATGGGATGTGGGGATAAGGACCAAGGCCAAAGTACATTATGATGAGCACGACTTCCAAACTGATGCCATTCAGAAAGTTTCTGTTTCTTTGGGCTTGGATGATCCCTCAACGGTTGTTAGGGTTTCAGTTCGCTAGGGCTTCCTAAGGACCTTAAGGCCTACTATGTTCATCAAACCCCAAAGAAGTGAGTTTTCTTACATCCACAAACGCAGTTCTCAGGATAAGGTCTTTGACCCATGATCCTAGTGGCTTCAGGGATGGGTAGGCTGTGCTGGACCACAGAGAAGGAACCTGGTTGTTGAGGAAACTGTTATACACCTTCTCCATTTCTTCAGACATCACCACTAAGCCGGCGATGGCTTTGTTGAGTGTTTCCAGAGACGTCTGAAAGAACAAGAACGGGGAGATAACCTTTCACAGATGTAATTATCAAGTGTGAGTGCCACTCATTTGAGGCAGCTGGTACTGCCTTGGGCTGAAGGGCCCACTTGCTGGGTTCCATCCTCTCAGTACACGGTCTGCTGGGCTAGACCCTCCAGTCTTTCATCCATTTTTACAACACGTGACCACAGGGGTGGAAGACCTGGGTGGGGGTGCGGGGGGTTCAGGCGGTTAATAGCAGAATCCAATGAAGTGGAAAGAGGGGAAGGAGGAGAAATATCCTCTGAAGCCTCGAGAAGTGGTTTCAAGAACTGCCACTGAACAGCTCTCCTGCAGGCTAAAGGAAAAATGCGCCTGACGGTTTAGTTATTTGGGAAGCATGGGGGTGGTGGTGGCAACTACCTCAGGCCTCAGGGGAGCTCTGCCCCGGGGCTGCCCATGGCCTCTGAGGTTAGAGCAGAGAGGGAAGATTCTTAGATGAGACCAATCTTTCAGCTGGTACCAGAGAGTCTCCTTGAACTGGAAACACTTCCTTAGGACATGCCCCTCACCCTCCCCTCACCACCACAAAAGTCAGAGGCTGGTAGCAGCCTTGGGAAGCCCAGGGTAGTATGGGCTAAAGATGAAAGCTGGCGTGGGGTTGGTAGGGCCTGCACAGGTTCCAGTTTTGTGAAAACTACTACTATCTACTGGGGAGATATTACAGAAAGACGTTGGAGGCCAAATTTATGTGGATTTAAAAAACAAAATAAGGTCCAGGACCATATAGTTCTGGAGATAGGCCATATGTGGATGAACAAGGTTGTCAGCCTTCCCTTCCCTCATAGAGTTATCCCCCCCAGCCCCCCCGCCCCACATCCCGTCTCTCTTCACAAGAGGCAGTAGTATGAAAAAGAAGAGTTTTAGTTAGATCTGCCCTTGGGACGTGAGGAGCCCTTGGCAGCGTCGGAGAGCAAGGGGGCTCTCGGCCAGAGCCGAGGCAGTATTCTACCTTAGATACCGAAAATGGAAAAAGCAGAAGACTTATGTAAAATGCTGGGAGAATGCTTAAGTTACGGCGGGGGGGAGGGGGTTAGGCAGCTAGGGTCCTCTAGGTCTGCTTAAAATAGAGGTCACTTTGCGGCCGATTCTCCCAGAGGAGAATGTTCGGTGGGAGAAAGTGTACTTCAAGATGTTCTTCTCTATGGCTAGAAGCCTGACTAACAGGCTGGCCTCATCTCTCCCAGGAACCACCCTGGCTCACAGTTCAGTCACTAGAGGGAGGAGAATGGGGCTCCCCGGGGTGCTGCCACCTTCCTTGGCCTTTCTTATTGCCACTGCGGTGCTGCCTTGCTATTCCCTGGTGAAATGAAGGTAAGGCTGGGCCAGAGTCAGGATGGGGGGGCGGTGAGGAGCCACCACCCCTCCCTCAGACAGGAGTGCCCTGCCATGATTCCCGATTGCCTTGCAGGCTGCTTCTTCCTGGGCTCTGCCCTCTTCTTCCTGTAGATGAATCCCTCCATTACTGGGAGACGGTAACGTTTGCCCAGAAGTGGCCACAAGGAGACTTGAGAGCCACACTTATTCACTTGCCCATTCAAACAGTCACAAAGATTTAGGATGTGTCAGGGACTAGGGAAACAAAGATGACTAATATACTAGTTTCCTTCTCTTCAAGAAGTTCATTGACTCACAGGGGAGCCCTTCTAATGGAGGGGAAATTACAAAGTAATGTGGCAGGTACTGTGATAGACACAGACACCTGAAATGATGGAGTGCTGAGGAGGGGCTCCTAAGTTATCTGATGGTGGAGGGATGGGCAGGGGTGTCAGGAAGACTTTTTGGAGTAAGTGACATTTGGATTTGTCCATCTTCAAGTAGGCGAAAGGTCATGATGTGGAGGAGGCCAGACATGAGCAGCATCCATGTTTGTCCTCTGAACAACAGTCCTCCCTTCATTTTAGCTGGGCATACAGCAATCCAATATAGAGACTATATTTCCCACCACCCTTGCAGCTGGGGTATGGCCATGTGACCAAATTTTGGCTAATACAGTACAGGAAAAAAATGATGTATGCAATTTCTGGGTCACATTTTTATGAGCTTTCTCTCAGCCCTCTCTTCCCTTGTGCCCCCGGCTGGCAAAAGGGGACAACAGAAGCAGCCACCGTAGGCCCAGAGATGCAGGCTAGCTGTTGAGGCTGGAAGAGCCAACCCTCCAGCTGGGGTCCCTAGATGAGCTCACAGAGCAAGATGAACTACCTGCCCTATAGGGCTTCCTCTGGGCTGTTAGCTGAGAGGGAAGTGAATTTTTATCTTGTTTTTGGTCATTGTATTTGGAGATCTTTATCATAGCAGTTTAATCTCTACCTTGGCGCTTTCAGTGTAGAAGGAGATAAGCCCTGGGCTGACTACCTGGCCTGTGACACTGGTATATAGCTGGCTAGATCCAAGTCCCAAGGTGAGGACTTCACATATTCAGCTGACTGATGCCCCCCTAACCCACAAGCCTAAGTATCGCCAGCCAACCAGCAACATCGGGAGACTGCTTTTCTAATAGGAGACAGACAGTCTTTGGCTTTAAAAGATTTACCCCAGTTGTCCTCCCCAATCTTACCACCGAGCCTTGACTTTGTGCTAGGTATTTGGTGCTCGCTGGGCAGGAAAACCTTCCGGGGTAATGCTCAGTATTTGGTCTCTAAAAGTTTTTGTGTTTACCTTATCAAAGTTTTGCACAGAGAAACCAGGGAGGCCTTTAGCCATCATTATAAATTCAAGCCCAACCAGAAAGTGTTCCGGAGCATAAGGCAAAGTCTCCCAATAGTTGTCTTCAAATTTTAGCGGCAGTGAAATCATCTGGGGGAGTTTATTTAAAATTCATAATCCCAGGAATTTCTCAAGGAATTCTAACTCAGTAGGTCTGGAGTGGGATCAGGGAATCTACATTTTGAACATGCCACATGGCAGATTCTAATGCGAGCATTTTGCAGCACAACTTGGAGAAACTCTGGTTTTTATAGTCGTCATAAAGACTGTGTTATTATATGCAAACCAGACATCAGGAACATGCACTGAATCTCTCTTAACTCAGCGCTTCGGTCCTTGATCAAATGTCTAGAGTCAATGCTCATTCCAGGGGTGTAAGTTAGGATAACAAGGACACTGGATCTGTAATGTCACAGACTGGTGGAGGCCTTATTAGAGAAGGGGAACGGACTCGTTGGATGGGGGTCAATTCCATTTTAGCCAAGTTGTGTTGGAAGAGTTGTTAGCATATCCAAACGGAAATGCTGAAGTGGTGGGAACGGACGATTCTTACGAGGCTACACTTCTCTACAAAGCTTTGCTGCCCATCAGCAATGCGGGCAGTGAGCGCTCATACATGTATTAACTTCAGTAGCTTGTTAAAGCGGTCCACTTCTTGTCCGAGCACGGTAGTCAAGGAGTTAAGGCGTCCTTGAGGATCCCTGATGAAAAGGCTCTCCGATGCACTCTCCATTTCTAGTGTTTCTGAAACACACACAGCTGATTCCTCAGATTGATCATCACGGATTGCTGTCCTCCTAACACTGCTATTGTCATGCACTTAACTTAACTCTTACAAAGCCAATGACTTCTGCATCTGGGCCGGGGCTGAATGGGAGTCAGGCCCTGCACAGACCTCAGTGGCAAAGGCCGGCGGGACAAGCGGCTACCTGGCAGGTGAGGGCCATCCCTGGGACCACCAGAAAACAAGGTGATAATAATTTAGCCATTTCTCTTGAATCTAGAAAAAAAATGACATGGATTCTAGAGCAGGGCCATCTAATGGCACATTTTACAGTAATGGAAATGTCTTCGATCTGTGTTGTCCGATACAGTAGCACTCAAAATATGGCTAGTGCAACTGAGGAAATGAATTTTAAATTTTACTTATTTATATTTAAGTTTAAGTAGCCACTTGTGGCTAGTGGCTACTGTCTTGGGCAGCACAGGTCTAGAGGCACAGGGAAGTTCAGGAAAAAGTCTAGTTAAAGTTTCATGGGGCTAGAAACCAACTTGCTCCTAATGCTTCTGGCAGTTGGGTTGTTGAGATGCTCAAGGCTTCCATGGAGAGCTCTGAGTCAGAAGTGCTCTCTACATAAAGAAAAGTGTATGTAGTAAAGCATATTTGGATACCTGCTCATCACTCAGCTTTCTGAGTTTATTCCTGAAAGTCCTATGTTGTACAGAAGCCAGAGATTATTTATTACCTGGAACTCTGGTCCGGACTGAAGCAACAAGTTCTTGGACAATTTCATCATTGCTTTTTCCCTCTCCACCAGATGACGACCTTGGCTGAACTTCAAGTATGGTGTTGATTAAAGTGTTGGTCTCTTTGTACTGTAATGGTGGGAAGAGACAGAACAGTGAAGGCTCGAATTCTCAGAAAATAATTTACAGTACAATTTACTTATAGAAATGGCAATTGTCAAAAAGGGAAAACTTTTATGTTGAAGATAGAATTGGTAAAATGTGCTCATTGGAAATGCACAGTACAGGTGACCCTTGAACAATGTGGGTGTTAAAGCACATTGCCCTTCCTGGTTCCACAGTCAAAAATCCATGTATGACTTGATTCTTCAAAAATGTAACCACTAATAGCCTACTGTTGACTGGAAGCCTTACCAATAACATAAACAGTTGATTAACACACATTTGGGTATGTATTATATACTGTATTCTTAAGTAAGCTAAAGAAAAGAAAATGTTAGTAAGAAAATCATAGGGGCACCTGGGTGGCTTAGTCAGGTAAGTGTCTGCCTTCGGCTCAGGTCATGATCTCAGGGTCCTGGAATCGAGTCCTGCATCGGGCTCTCTGCTCAGTGGGGAGCCTGTTTCTCCCTTTCCCTTTCCCTCTGTGTGCTCATTTACTCTCTCTCTCTCTTTCAAATAAATAAATAAATCTTAAAAAAAAAGAAAAGAAATCCGTGTATAAATGGGCCGCACAGTTCAAACCTGTGCTGTTCAAGGGTCAATTGTACACAGTGGTCAGTGTTATATTAAAACAGTTTTGGTTGAACAATAATGTGAATGTACTTAATGCCACTGAACTGTATACTTAAAAATGATTAAAAGGGTAAATTTTATGTTATATAAATATATAATTATATATTCATATATTTATGTATACATATATAAATATATGATTTTATGTTATGTTTTATTAGGGTCAAATAAAAAAATGAATGACCCTAATAAAAAATGAATAAAAATTTTTTAGCTAATCGTTTAAAAGAAAGTTTATAAAAATGAAGAAGAAATAATGAGAATGTTTTTTGAAACACTTTTATTTAAATAACATTTTTTTCAACTAGAAAAGTGTTATGGCTTATTATAGAAAATTTAGAAACTACAGAAGCGTATAAAGAAAAAATAAATATTCGTGATCCTGCTTTTCAGAGATATTTATAACTTTAGTTTACCACCACTTGGACATTTTATCTGTATATGTGCATCTAATTAAAAAAACTGAGCCCATACAATTTATATAGTATTCATTCTTTTTCAATTTCATGAACATTTTTCTCCTATCACTGACAAATCTTCCTGAATCATGCTTTAGTGATGTGTGTGATTGTGACTGTGTGATACTTGGTGGTATGAATGAGCCATAGTTAATATAGTTGTTTATCTACTATATTACTATTAGATATGTTTTGGACATTTCTAGTTTTTAGATTTTATAGAACTTGGTGAATAGAATATCTGTATATGAATTTCACCCACTATATTTGAAATCCTTTAAATGATATATTTCCAACAGAATATTTTTAAAATGGGTATTACTATATTGATTTCTAAAAACATTGTATCAGTTTATACTCCCAACAATAGTGTATCAGAGGACCTATTTTTATCTTTGCAAGAATTAATATCTTTGCTTAAAAATCTTTTCAAATTTAATAGGTAAAAAGTTTCTCTCTCTCTTTTTTTTTTTTGCTCAACTTGGAGGGTTATCAGAGTTAAGCATTTTATTTTATTTTTTTCAGAGTTAAGCATTTTAAAAATATGTTCATTGATCATCTGTATTACATCTTTATAAATTACTCATGTATTTTGCACACTTTCGATTTTTAGTCTTTTTGTTACTGATTTATCAGAGATAATTCTATAATAAGAATAATTAACTTCTTTTCCCCCAATTCTTTTGTGGTAAAATACATGTAACATAAAAATACTGTCTTAACTATCTTTAAGTATACAGTTCAATGGTATTAAATACATTAATAATGTTGTGCAACCATCACCACCATCCATCTCCATAATTCTTTTCATCTTGTAAAACTGAAGCACTTACCCATTAAAAAGTAACTCCTCATTCCTCCTTTTTCCCAGCCCCTGGCAACTACCATTCTACTTTCTGTCTCTAGGATTTTTGACTACTCTAAATACCTCACATAAATAGAATTATACAGTATTTGTCTTTATGTGACTGGCTTATTTCACTTAGTATCATGTCTTCAAGTTTCATCCATGTTGTAGCATATTACAGAATTTCCTTCCTTTTTTTTTTTTTAAAGATTTTATTTATTTGACAGAGAAAGACAGAGCAAGAGAGGGAACACAAGCAGGGGGAGCGGGAGAAGGAGAAGCAGGCTTCCCGTGGAGCAGGGAGCCCAATGCGGGGCTCGATCCCAGGAGCCTGGGATCATGACCTGAGCTGAAGGCAGATGCTAAACGACTGAGCCACCCAGGCGCCCCAAGAATTTCCTTCCTTTTTAAGGCTGAATAATACTCCATTGTATGTATGTATCATTTTTTTGCTTATTATCTGTCAATGGACACTTTGGGTTGCTTCCACGGTTCAGCTATTGTGAATAATGCTGCCGCTGAGCAGGGAGCCTGAGGCAGGGCTTGATCCCAGGACCCTGGGGTCATGATCTGAGCCAAAGGCAGACACTTAGTGGACTGAGCCACCCAGGCGCCCCTATTTTTGGACATTTTAATCTCCATTCTGGAAAGTTTAAGTTTGTCCTTTATATCACATGTGTGATAATCTATATACCAGTTCTGGTCTCTAAGCCTCCAGGGTAGTTTTTAATTCTGCTGTGGTATTTTTAGTTTCCTTGAAAGATTTCATTCTCACACATCTCATGGCATCCTTTGTGTGTGTGTGTGTGTGTGTGTGTGTGTGTGTGTGTATGTATCAGCCTATTCTCAAATTCTGGCTTTTTCTTTCTCCAGGCTAGGTCTTCTACCCTACCTCAGATGCCAAACACATTGTTTATTTTTTTTGTTTTTGCAGCAGGTGATTTGCAGAGGGCAAATCTGTATCTTCTGGATGGTGTTTTCTATCCTTTATCCTTCAGTATGTTTTTTCCCACCTATTTACTCAGCCTCTGTTGTTTTTGTCTTTCCATTTATTCAGCCTCGTATGAGAAAAGAGATAATAGATATCTGTTTGTGCATAGTCTATACAGATGGCCTTTGACTTATGCTCATTATTGTCTTAGGAGGCAATTTCTGCCTTGTATCTCCCATTGATGTGCACAGGTCAAGTTCCAATTTTCTTTACTAGTTTCTAATAAGCATCTAAGTAAGTATAGTTTGTGGAGTGAGGAAGGAATCATATCTTTAATGTAAAGACTCTATTGATGGCAGGCAGAATTAGTTAACCTAAAGCAGCTAATCAAAGAAATCTGTTGGCTCATACACTGGGAAGAAGAGAACACAAGTCACATGGGTCTCAGGCATGAATGGATCTAATGTTTTCTCTCCAGTACATGCTTGGTTGTTTCTCTCTTTCCTATGGCAGATGAGCTTCTTCCATGTGGTAGGGGGAATGGGTTGAATGTCAATGATAAGGCCACAGACAGCTACAGATATGCAGTATCCTAGCCAGTGATTCCAAAGGAAAGAGAAATCCCTCCCCCAATCCTAGCATCTGTATATACTAAAGCTTAGGGAAGAATTCTCATTCACCCAACCTGGTCCATGTACCTGTTCCTTGGACCAATTCCAGTGGCTAGGTGATGGAGTGCTGCCTTTGGCCAGGCCTGAGTCACATGCCCACCTCTGAAGGTAAGGAGGTCTTAACCAGAATTTCATGGAATGAGGAAGGGGCTGTTATCCCAAAAGGAAGAGATTGGGAGTAGGGCATATACTCTGCCAGAAAAATGGAGGAAGGGAGGCTAGACTGAAAAGCATACCACCGTGCCCACTACATGCCTGCTGTCTCATTCTCAGTCATTGTGAACCAAAGGAAAACACAAAACTACACTCCTTGGTGCACACTGCCAAGAGTGTTACCTCTACCAACAGTGCTGTATTTCTCACAGGATGCAGCACGTCTTACAATATCTACACTCCCCTTTCCCCTTCTTCCCCTCCCCCGCTCGCCCCAGGCCCCACCCACTCCAGAGCAAACTGTCAGATATGAGTGAATATTAACACTTGTTTGGCCACCTCTTTTTCTTCCTGAAAGCAGAATAACGAAAAACAAGATAATATTCTAACTCCTTGCTAAATAGCAAAGCAATTTTTTATGGCAGAGAACCATGACATAAGGTGGCAGAGCATTGACCTCCTGGGTTTTTTTCTGGAAGTTCCACTGTTGTTTCTTATGGATTCATTGATATCTAGGTAGACCTCACCCTCTAACACTTGTATGGGCAAAATTTAAGTTGAAAGGAAGATGATTCCCTTCAGCCTTGTGAGCCAAACCTAGTCTCCAACCTTTATAGTATTCCAGGCTCTAAGGGACAGACCTTAGTTCATGACTTTGGTTCGTCCACAGATGCCTGACCATGGCAAATGAATAAACTCGAAAGGTATGTAGGCACAGGTAATGGAGGAGCCTCAGGTGCCATTCTGACAAACTTGGACTACCCCTAGGTAATGGTGGGGCATCAGAAGGTCTTAGAGGAGTGAAATGACCCAGTTTGCTCTTTGGATCTACTGCTGGTGTCTGGTACTGTGACCTGCTGAACCACAATTTTAAAGAACACTGTTTTTGGGACACCTGGGTGGCTCAGTTGGTTAAGCGACTGCCTTCAGCTCAGGTCATGATCCTGGAGTCCTGGGATCGAGTCCCATATTGGGCTCCCTGCTCAGCGGGGAGTCTGCTTCTCCCTCTGACCCTCCCCCACCTCATTCTCTCTCAAATAAATAAATAAAAATCTTAAAAAAAAAAAGAACACTGTTTTATCTGTCTTGGATGTTTGTCATTGTACTTTTATAACTTAATCATCTGTGGATCCATAAACCCTTGTGTAATATGATACGGATTTGCTCAGTGTGGAGGGAAAAGGGCAAAAGAGAAAGGACTGTCTGGATTATCGTCCAAATCCCCAAGTTAAGGTGGACTGGCGGGTAGAAGGCCGGGAGGTGGGGGAGTGGCCAGTGACAGGGAAAAATGCATCGATCTTAGGATGCTGTGAAGGATCCAGAGCGAACAGGCTAAATTGGAATCAAATGCTGAAGTTGAGGTTAAACATTTACTTTGGTTATTTAAGGATATAACAATTTATGAGACTAGTGAGATGATTATTGATGTTTCAAGTTTACATACACAATATGAAAATATATTTTAGGTTAAAAGGCCACATACCTGGAAAACTAGGTTGGCATTTTCATGCATTCCAAATATTTCTGGGTCATCCATCAAAGGCAGATTTTCAATGTAGTCCTTAAACTCTTGTAGGCTGTCAGCCAAAGGTGCAAAATAGATGCCTGTTTATTGAAAACACAGAAGGCAGGTATGTTTCAAATAGACTAGCTTTGTACCACCAAGGTTAGTCCTTCTCTGCCTGTTCAGATGGTGGCTATAATCAAGTGCCTTCCACAGAAAAGGGGATTGTTTTCCCCACCCTCCTTGCCTTCATTACTGTGCCTGGTCGCTTTCCCTTTTCTTGAGGCCTTGAGCATGTGATTAGTCTCCTACTCTTTCAGGGTGTTTCCTCCAGAACCTTTCAAGATTCTGGGAATCCAGGGATGTGCTGCTGAAAGCCGTGCCTTGGTAAAGGGCTCCAAATTTATAGAACTTTGAAAGCACATTTAGACCAAATACAACCCATTTTAGAGCAAATAATTCAAAGTGGCTACTGCACAAAAGATATTTTTGTGCTTTAACTGCCAAGCCACTTTTGGAGGTGGTCAAGCGTGGGGCTGGGGCGGGCGGGCGTGGGAACTGGGCTGTGATGACTGGACACTGAGAGCTCCTGGATGGAAAACTGAGAGATGCTGCCAATGACATCTTGCAAAAGGTCCTTTCCGGAATATTGAAAAGTCATTCACCTGATTCCGAATATTTATAATCCTCTTCTAATGTTTCAGGAGAAAAGAACCTTTTTAAGACCGTACGAAGGCATCTTTGATCCCAGGTGTCTGTAACTCTACCACCATATGTAATTTCACCTGAAAAGGAGTTTGCATTTTTAAACATATTTTTTATTGATATGCTTAGCCAAATTCTAATAGGTTTATTTATATGCACATTTATTTGGAACTGAAAGTGAAAAGAGCATATCAGAGTTTCCTTCAGAGAATAAAAGGCAGGAAAAAACCTAGTATATGTACCTTACCCTAATTATTTTGCTTTCCCCAAATAACCAGAACCAAAGCCACTGAGCTCTATTTATGTCTTTTTCTTTCTTTCCTTTCTTTCTCTTTCTTTCTTTCGTTTTCTTTTCTTTCTTTCTTTCTTTCTTTTTTTCTTTTTCTTTCTTTCTTTTCTTTTTCTTTTCTTTCTTTCCTTTCTTTCTTTCCTTTCTTTTTCTTTCTTTCTCTTTCTTTTCTTTCTTTCTTCTTTCTTTCTTTCTTTCTTTCTTTCTTTCTTTCTTTCTTTCTTTCTTTCTTTCTTTCTTTCTTTCTTTCTTTCTTTTCTTTCTTTCCTTTCTTTCTTTCCTTTCTTTTTCTTTCTTTCTCTTTCTTTTCTTTCTTTCTTTCTTTCTTTCTTTCTTTCTTTCTTTCTTTCTTTCTTTCTTTCTTTCTTTCTTTCTTTCTCTTCCTTCCCCCCTTCCTTCCTTTTCTTCTTCTTCTTCTTCTTCATCTTTTTTCATCTTTCTTTGTCCTCCTCCTCCTCCTCTTTTTCCTCTTCTTCTTCTTCCTCCTCCTCTTCCTCCTCTTCTTCCTCTTCTTCTTCTTTTCCTGCAAAATACTGATTTTGGGCTTTATTCCATCATTGATCACAGTATTCTAAAACATATACACTTCCTATGCAACACTGATTCTTTTTGAGGCCAGTAAATAAATGGACCCAAAACATTGACAACAGGACATTGAAACTGTATGCATACTTTATAATATTAAAATGAAGCCAGGAAGGATAGATAGGTCCAAGGTGAAAGAGACGACTTGCCTCACAGAAATTATGTTGTGGGGAATTAAAACTTATTAGTACCCCATCTCTTTTTTCAGAGAGCAGCTACTTTCAGCATGCTCCACAGTCATCCCAAAATTCTAAATAGGAATGATATCTATTCTTCTTTGGAATAATATCATTGCTGATATAATTCCTTGGGAAAACTCCAGATCCATTGCTACATTTCATTATTTGCCACTGTAGTGTTCCCAGAAGGATTTTACCTATGGTACTGACACTCAACTTCTGGATTCTCTGAATGTTCAGGCATTCTTATCTCTATATCTTCCATTATGTCAGGAAGAAGTGTTTTTCATTCTCTTTCAAGCTGAGATGGTTGGTTGAAAGAACGTTATTTCAGTCTTTGGAATCTCAATAATTTATTTCTTCTAAGGGAGCAATGTCTTTACTTGCACCTCTCATAGGTACACTTATTTTCCCTCTCTTGTTGAAGCATTTTTGGTCTGTCGTGTTGGATCAACCACTCAGGGGGAGGGGAGAGGAGGTAGAGTAGGTATTACAGCTGGTGGTCAAGTAGCTAAATCTCTGTTTTAGCAATTCTAAGAGGGAAGAAAGATGCTATTGTATTTTCCTGGGTATATTCTTCAGTCACCTTCTAGGAAGTCTTGGAACACAAAGTTCGGTTACATCTTTGTAGTGGGTCCATCAGGTCTGGGCCTAAATTGAGGCTCCTCTTGGATCCTTGGGGCTGGATGGGAATGTAAGCTCAAGTTTCTCCAACTGCATGATGGTGTCTGGAAAAGGAGGATGGGCCAGGAGAACTAAGACTTCTATAGTTGGTAGGTGGTGAGAGGAAAGAGTTGCCCTAAAGTACTTTTTTTAAGTCACAAAGGACAATATCTGCATTTTGAGAAGAAGCACAGAAATATTTTCCTTACAAATCATCAGACTTTGTGCTTCTCCATCCAGATTGAGTTTCACCCTTTTCTTGGATCAAACTGAGTAAATAATTTTGACTCAGAGTAGATGACTCACTTTTGGGCTCAATTTTAGGAAGGAGTCTTCTGGGTTTGGTCTTCCCAGAAGAGGGACCTGGGGAGGAAGTGTCTACCATACATGCCAATCACCTGTCCTGGCCCTGGCATCACAGTCCCCGAGGGTCTTGTTGCAGATTCCAGTGTGGTGGCTTCCCCCTTCTCTTCCTCTTCTATCCCCAGAGGCTGGCTGAGGGATAGCCCAATACAAACTGGACAGGCCTTAGGTTTGGCTTTGTCCTTGCCTACTTGGAGCTTAGATCTGTCTCCTGGACTTATGTATTGCTATACCTTACACTATAAAATTTTAAGACCTCCCCCACCCCCAAATACCTTCTCATATTTAAAGCCTCCTCAGTATTTCTCTGTTTAGTCTCTCCTGTTTATTTTTATTTATTTTTTAAAAAGATTTTATTTATTCATTTGAGAGAGAGAGAGAGAGACAGAGCACAAGCAGGGCAAGGGGCAGAGGGAGAGGAAGAAGCAGACTTCCCACTGAGCTGGGAGCCCAACATGGTGCTCGATCCCAGGACCCTGGGATCATGACCTGAGCTGAAGGCAGATGCTTAGCCATCTGAGCCACCCAGGTGCCCCTATTCTCTCCTGTTTAGTTTCCCCACTGGTGTTGCTGTATCTTCTTGTTCAGTCCTTCATGTTGCTTTTATTATAGTTTGTAAATTATTGTACCTCTTTACAGCCTAAAGGACTATGATTGCCAATCATTGATTACAAAGTAGAACCAAAATTTATTAACAACACACACAGGCCTTTCAGGTTGTGCCCCCAGCTTACCTTTTTTAGTTTTGTTAAAGTTAAAGCTCCCCTCCATGTACATCCCCTCTTCCTACTATGCACCAGCCCAACGGAATTGCTCACAAGTTCTACAGTCAGGCCACACCTCAACCCGTTGGGCTTTTACATCATGATTCTCTCAGCCCAGTGTGCTCTCCTGCCTTTTCTCTCCCAGTGAGCCCAACTTAGCTCAATGTAGCTGTTCAGCACTTAGCTCCCAGCAGAGCTCTCCCGGATTCTCCCGGGGTAGTGTTGTTCCTTCCTAGTTCCCACAGCATTGTGCAGACACTTCTGATTTGGTTATTATCCTAACATAGAGTTTATTTATTATCTCCACCCTCCATGCCATGAGTTTTTGGCAGGCAGGGTCTATGTCATCTTTGTATTTCTAGCATCTCTTGTAGTAGTATTAGGCAGTATTTTCTGGATTAATGCATAAATGACTGCCAAAAATACCACCCTATGGATAAAGCATTCATTGCCTTTTTGCTCCTATCCATTTTTTAAAAACAGCTTTAATAAAGAGCTATAATTTAAAAATCATAAAATCCACATAAAATTTACATGTATAATTCAGTAACATTTAGTAAACCTGCAATGTGTGTGTAACCGTCACCACAATCTAATTTTAAAACATCTGTATCATCCCCCAAAAGAAATCTTGTGCCCCTTCTCAGTCACTCTCCATTCTTGCCCCTGCTCCATGCAACCAGGAATTTACTTTCTGTCTGTATACATTTGTTTTTTCTGGAACTTTCATATAAATGGAATCATACAATGTGGTATTTTGTGCCGACTTAAAAAAAAAAGACTATTTTAGAGAGAGAGGGAGGGAGAGAGCAAGCAGGGGGAGGGGTAAAGGGAGGGGGAGAGAGAATCTTAAGCAGGCTCTCTGCTGACTGTGGATCCCAACTCAGGGCTCAATCCCGGGACCTTGATATCAGGACCTGAGCCCAAATCAAGACGTGGATGCTTAACTGACTGAGGCACCCAGGTGCCCCTGTGCCTGACTTTTTTACTTAGCATAGAGTGTGTGGGGTTTTCCTATGTTGCAGCACGTATCCATACTTTACTCCTTTTTATGGCTGGATAGTACATTGTGTGGATACGCCACATTGTTTTTCCATTCACCAGCTGATGCAAGTTCACGTTGTTTTCACTTTTTGGCTATGAAGCAATGCTGTTATAAACATGTACAAAGTTTTTGTGTGGACATGTGTTTTCATTTTTTTCCTGGGTATATACATAGGAGAGGAATTTCTGGGTCATATGGTAAGTCTATTTTAAAAATCTTCCAAAGTAGTGGCACCATTTTACATTGCCACCAGCAATGTATGAGGGTTCCACTTTCTCCATATCCTCACCAACACTTCGTTACTCTTTTTTTGTTGTTTCATTTTTTAATTACAGTCATCCTAGCCGGTATGAAGTGGTATTTCATTGTGGCTTTAATTTTCATTTCCTTAATGACAGAGCATCTTTTCATGTGCTTATTGGGCATTTATATCTTCTTTGGTGAAATGTCTGTTCAAATCTTTTGCCTATTTTTAAATTGGTTTATTTTTCTTTTCACTGTTAAGTTGTAAGGGTTCTTTATATACTTTGTATACAAGTGCCTTATCAGACATATGATTTGCAGATATTTTCCTTCAGTCTGTGGCTTGTCCTTTCACTTTCTTGACGGTGTTTGCTGAAGTATAAAAGTTTTAAACGTTGATGATGTCCATTATTATTTTTTCTTTATTGCTTGTGTTTTTTGCATCATATCTAACAAGTCATTGCCTAACCCAAAGTCACAAAGATTTACTTCTATGCTTTCTTCTAAGAGCTTTATAGTTTTAGCTATTACATTTAGCTCTTACAGGACTCATTTTGAATTAATTTTTGTGTATCATATGAGATAAGGATCCAAATTCATCCTTTTGCAGATGGATATCTAACAGTCCCAGCATCATTTGTTGAAAAAATTATCCTTCCTCCATTGAGCCGCCCTGATACCTTTGTTGAAAGTAAGCTGATCATCAATATAAGGTCAATTGACCATCACCATTTTATTAAGCAGTGTTGGCCCCACTAGAGTAGTGGAGTGCTGGAGGCCAGAGTATAAAGTAGCCCCCTAGATTCCAAGACCACCCCTTTTGGTCCACTCTGTGGATGGTCCTCATTCATTTTCATGGTTGTTTCACTGCCCTCCATTTCCAAGGTTTATTTGCCTTTCAAGGCTCTAGATCACCTGATCCCTCTCTGTTCTTCCCCATTTCCCTTACTCACCAGTAAAAACCACCCATTCCCATTCTGCCCCTTTTCAGAGCGCTCTTCTTCCCCCCACTTCCCAGTGCAAATCATTTCTTCATTATTTGGGCCTACATATTCCACATTGGACCTAATTTTTTGGCACAAGGTCCCATGTGGCCACAATTAATATTTGCTAAAAATTGTAATTCCTGAAATATTTTTTCCTTTTTCACAAGTATACCTGAATCAACAGGTCTCTACTAGTCAAGCAATGTTCAGATTCTTTTGAATTTAAGAGCATACTCTTGAGGCTAGACTGACTGAATTTCAATCTTGGCTCCACCACTTATAAAGCGTGTGCCTCAGTTTCCTCATGTATAAAATAGGTATATAACAGTCCTCACCTCATAGGGTTGGTGTGAGGATTAAATCTGCTAATTCTTAGGAAGTGCTGAACATAGTACTTGGCATGTATCAAGAGTGATATAAGGTTCTGCTATTATTATTTGGGAAAACATCTGCCCATTTTCTATGTGTAAATATTCTCATGATATTCTTATCATGGTCTTATCTTCACAAAGGGACTATCAGAATCATCATCACCACTATCAAACACTGGGGGAAGGATGCCATCTTTATGTGGGCCATGGCCTGTCCACATGGGCATACTGACCAGTAATGTAAATCAATGCATCCCAGGGAATCTTTCCTTCTTGACAATAAAGGTTGAGGTTTAGTAAAGCACATTCCCTGTCACTGTCATTAAATTCGTAGCAGATGTTCCAACCAAGGGGGCCAAACTTTTTTCTCTCCTAGAAGGGAAAATGAAAATAGTCTTACATAAAATTTGATAAAATTAACTTTGTATAAAATATTGAGAAATTAAAGGTTTCTGTTGAAGCTGGGCATCTTCATTCTGTAAAATCAGTTAAGATCATGAAGTTCAATTTCATCTAGGCTTTCAGTTTGGCTTACAGAAAACATGGGCGGCATCTCTTCCTTCAGTCCTAGCTCTTTGCCAAAATTTCCGAAAGAAAATTTGACATTACTGGAAATATGATAGATCTGTGAAAAGGACATTTGTCCTTCATGGTAAAATAAAATATTTCCCCATCAAAATAGGCAAAAAAGAAAAAAAATTCTGACACTAATCATCCATCTGATGGCAAGAACTACTCTCTACTCTTCTAAGGCGTCTATCACCTAGGCTTTTCAGTCATGTCACAATGTGCTGATTACATACTGACTTCTCTGCAGTGACATCTTTTTTTTTTTTAAACTGGTACACAGAATCAGAACCCTTGTTTCATGACTTCACATAGTGAAGTCTTTCCCTTTCCTCATTATCTCCCTATCCCATCTTAATTTCTTAATTCCAAACTAATGATTATATGAGAGGTCTCATATTCCCTCCTCTTGATTTCAAAATTTCCCTAAGTCTTGAACCACCTCCCTATCTCAGCTGTTTTTCTTTGTGCAATGGGGGCCTCACACCTGGAGTCCCTGGTCCCAGCCTCACGGATCTCCTCTAGGACCTTGTTTACTTATTTATTTCGTATTTTGCATCTTTAATCTTTGTTTTTTTCTTTACAGGTTCTTTCTCTGGAGACCATACACATTCGAAACCTAGGCAGCCAGTCTAATTAAGACACCATGTAGAGACATGTAGTCGAAGAGTCAGAATTTAAGTGCAGGGTCACAGGATGGACACCAAATCACAGCAGTGAGCTTTGAGCAGAGGGAAGGAGAGAGTAGTACTGAGTTGAAGGTCCTCTTGCAGGGGACTTGGGGCTCTGGTCACAGGGAAGAGGCTCTTAAGTGTGGTGAGCCCACTCAAATAGGAACAGGCAAGAATGAAACTATTGCAAGAAAAATGATGGACTGATATGTATGTGCAAAGAAGGGATAATAAAAATAATCCTGAAATTATGGAGATATGGGACCACTGATTTCAGAAGTAGAGCCTGGAGGGAAGCAGATTTGGAAGTGAGGCATAGCTGAGGAGATCAATTTTGTGCTTTTGAATTTAACCTCGTACATTTATCCAGGTGATGGTGTCCTTTGGTCAGATCAGAGTAGAGCTGGGAGGCGAAGCCATGAGCTGCTGAGGTGAGGGGAGTACAGAGAAATCAGCCACTGAGGGAGAACAACTTGGGTTCAGACCCTGAACTGGGCCTCAGCGCTTCACAATGCCACTTGTAAGCTCTCATGTAATTCCCACTTTTTAAAAAATTTATTAACATACTGCACTTTCTTGTTTCTACTAAAAAGCAAAAATTAAGTGTACCTGAATAATTGCATGGAAGAAGCAAACGCCAAATATTATTTGTCTCCATTTTCTTCCAAGTATATTTTCTTCAAAAAACGAAGGTGTCATTTCAGTAAATGCTCGTCTGATATTTGCACGTAAACCTTTCGGAGGCTCATTGGTTACCTGTATTCAGACACGTATGTGGCAGAGAGGGCAATTTTATAGATTCACATTATTTCTGAATAACACACATAGAGTGAAGGCATCGAGAGGATGTGGGGCATTCCTGGCATGTGGGGCCCTGCTCTGTATCTTGCTCAACCTCAGTCTCTGCAAAGTTGGGCCTCATGGGGTCTTTAGACCTACAGTGGGTGAACTGTCTCTACAAGAACCTCAGACAATTTCTTTTGGTGTCCATTTTTCTAAATATGGGCCAGAAAGTATGCTCAGGTCTGCAGCGCTGGATTTTCCACGCATCCCAACATAGGCATCCCTTGATGACATGGGACAGGGAAGGAAGAGGCATCTCTTGTTCCTGAGTGATCATTCATATGCAGAGGCTTCCTATATATTGAAGACTTCCAGCACTGAAATCCAGCAGCCATACTACCTGTAGGCCTTCCTATCTCTCACATGCTGAAATAGCCTCTTAATTCTGGGAGGGGTTCCATTCTCACTACACTGCATCCTTGACATTTTTTCTTTTCTTTTCTTTTTTTTTTTTTTAAAGATTTTTTATTTATTTATTTGACAGAGAGAGATAGTGAGAGCAGGAACACAAGCAGGGGGAGTGGGAGAGGGAGAAGCAGGCTTTCTGCAGCAGGGAGCCCAATGTGGGACTCAATCCCAGGGTCCTGGGATAATGACCTGAGCCCAAGGCAGACACTTAATGACTGATCCACCCAGGTCCCCCCTTGACATTTTCTTATAGAGTTGAATGATCAACAGACTAGGGCGCACAAAGATGGGAGTGGCTTGGGAAACTGCCTGCGTGCTAGCAGGTGAAGGGATACTGACTTCCCCCTCCCCACCTGGGTCACCCACACTTTGATGTGGTCCTGTGCGGGGCCTGGGATCCCCGGACCTACTTGGGGAACACTCTGAGGCCAATCATTTTGCACCATTCCAACCATGAGCATACGTTACCTTGACAGAATTTTGAAGAACTGTAACAGGAAATGTACTACTAGGCATGGAACTTAAAAAAAGTCGAAAAGTGTCCTTGATAGTAATAGCTGTTTAAAACAAAGACAACAAAAAAAGGAAAATGCTTAACTTAAAATAATACTTTTACATAACAAACACTTATTATGGGATAGCAAAAAACCTGCTGTGAGCTCTGTTTAAAGGCTAGCTTAAGTCTTTTATGTTGTAAAATGTTCTAAAATGGAGGTGGGAGGAATATTTATAGAAACTCTTAATACATGAAAATTTGGCAATCTAGACACTGGCACATCTGAGTAAAGAAATTAAGGACACATTAATTTTTAATACTTGGAGTTGTTAAGGGCCTTCCCTCTGAGATGGGGAAAATTTTCCATTAAAAAATAGGACTGTTACGCCAGTGCTCATGAAGTGTTTTGTTTTATTTTTAAACAATTCAATTTATGGCAGATTGCATGAAAATGGTCAGAAAACCCCATGGAGAAGAAAGGGATTTCTCCACTCTGCAGATAAGTTGCAAAGGGAATTGAGAGAGCAGGGGTATGGACAGACTTCATGAGTAGCATGAAGAAGTTAAGTCAATATGCTTACTTTGTGAGCTTTGCACAGAAAGCCTAAGAAAATGAGTTCCCTTCTGGGTTCAAAAGGCTGAAGCAAAGTTGGGAAAAGTGTTGTTCCCATTATAGGAAGACGCAGGCATCATCCATGGATGACTTTCTTGGTCCTGGTTTTTAAGTACATATTATGGTATTTCTCCAGCATTCTAGGCCTGCTCCCTCCCTAGGGTCTTCGCACTGGCTCTTCCTTCTGCCTGGAATGCCCTGCCTTTTTTTTTTTTTTCCTCTTTCTTCTATCTTTTTAATCTCCTTACAAATCTACAGCCTATCATTTTACAGAGCACATAACAAACCTCATAATATTTTTTACTAAGGCAATATGCCACTTTTAACATAAAAATCTTTCTATGGCTCCCTTTATTTCAATTAATCCTTTCTTAATTTCCTTATGTTTCTTCTTGCATGATTATTTATTTATTTTTAATAATTTTTTATTGTTATGTTAACCACTATACATTACATCATTAGTTTTTGATGCAGTGTTCCATGATTCATTGTTTGTGCATAACACCCAGTGCTCCACGCAGAATGTGCCCTCTTT